GACCAGCAGGGTTTATATAGCTTTCGGCTTACATTCTGGGCTAAACCGGTAAGAATTCTTTCCAGAAGGCTCTCCATCTGTCCATGGCATATAGCAAATTTTGTCGCCAAATGGGCTATATCTCGCCAAATGTGGCAACCCTGCCTTCCTTGCTATTTTATGGCAACCCTAAAACTTTGTAACCCTAAACTGCTTTTCAGGGAAGCCATCTTACCGCGCCTGTACATTTCGTAACAATATTATTAAGAATAGTCACTACCTAACTACACTCGCATTGGATTTGGAAATATACGTATCGGCAGAAAAATCACACATACGATGATCTAGAATTAGTTAAAAAGGTATTATCTATTTTACATATTTGTATAATTGTTTTTAAAAAAGTACAATTTTTAAATAATTAAAAGTTTAATATATATTATAGATAAGTAGATATATTTATTAATAATAATATAATAATACAATTAATTACTATGTATGCATTTTTCTTGCCATTGGATGAAGCAAATTTATCAATTACTTCATCATAGTCGATCATTTCAAATTTTTCTCTTTCCACATTGAAAAATGCTAGATTACTTAGGGGATCTTGTTCCATCGTTGATTATAAATATATCGAAATTAGTTTTAATAGTAAGGAATATTTGAAATGCGTCTCTTAGGTTTGAAAAACCATTTTCTCCATAGATCTGTAATAGAGTTCTAGATTTAGTGTCTTTTCTACTGCAGAGTAACATTTTGCAATCACATTCCCTGCTCAAAATAATTAGAGGATATTATTATGGTATAAAATAACCATATAATCGGCAACCTTTTTAACAAAAGAAAATAGAAGAGATTATAAAGGAAAATTATAACATTTACAAAGTTGGGAATGTGCAAATTTAGTCTGTGACGATGAAAACTGTGTGTTTTAGATAAGGAGTAAAGAGCGACGTGCAGCATTCCTTTTGTAGAAGGAGATTAAAAACAATTGGCACGCTTTGAATGCTTTGGAGCAGTGAATATACGATGTCTCAGCAAGATGACTAATCGGTAGAATTGGTAGCCAGAAAGGCCATCAGTCGTTTACAGGAGAGTCAAACACAATCCATTCTAGCGGAAGCTTTAGGAGTTTCCCAAAACGTAATTTCCAGATTATGGAATCGGTTTTTGGAAACTGGATATGTTTGAGAAATTTGTAACAATGTCGTGTTATCGTTTTAAAACAAAAAGCGGAAGCTATACGTGCATTACGGTAAAAAAAAAAAAAAAAAATAAAAATTAGAGAAATAAAGTGGTCAGAAAGAACATTTTTTATGCGGAGATATTTGGTTGATATACTGCAAACATTTTATTACACATTTTATCAGACAAATCGAGAAAATAAGTAATTAATTAGATTACAATAATTATTAATTTTAAATATATTTTCCAGAAATCGATCAAAATAAAAACTGAAATTTTCCGGAAAATATGGTTTGGAGACCATTTTGGCGCCCTTCTGAGAGTGGCGCCTGGGGCATTATACACTCCCTTGCCCCCCTCTTGCTACGCCACTGAGCACAGCACAGATGCATGATCAGAAAAATGATGATCAGTAATGCTCTTAGATGCACATCACCATTGTGGGTGAAAAATGAATAATTTTTTTCACCTCATGTATCCAATATTGAAAAATGCCTGTAATGATTGAACTAATAGTCGCATAAGCATAAATTTTGCACCTATCCCTTCATGTTCTCTTAAAACTAAACTCAGTGGCTTAACATCCCTAATGGGCCTGCAGTGCCCGAAGTCTGCTTTCTTGATCGTGGGCCCCTGCGTGCATAACCAAATGCCCTGAACAAGCTTGTTGCAGGTCCCCAAGTGTTTAGTCCCCAAGCGAACTTGGTACTCATTTTATCGACCCAAGTGATGGACATCAAGGAATGAAAGGTTGAGTCGACCTTGCCCAGCCCTGGAATCTATGGTGCTGCTGCGCCACCGGGCCTATTCATGTTCTCTTACTTAATCCAATAATTTAAAATTTATTACTAAAATCATAAAAAATCCAGTAAATACAACTGTTTGCTGTGGAGCACAAAAAACACATGTCCTGCTCATTCAGAGATCATATTAGGAATATTAGGACACTGATTTGCATCACTGCAGCCCTCATCTAGCACTCTGCAAGAGTTTCAAGGTGCTATTCGTCATGAATACATTTTATTACCACAAGAACTCCTAGACAATGTAACACAATATCAGCAAAACTTGTTTCAGTCAGGTGTGACCACATATTGTATTAAATTTTTTCTATGTAAATCCAATAGGCTATAGCACCGGTTTTTCCCTTACTCTATATCACATTTCGTATTTTCTACTTTAATTTTTCACCGAAATATACAATTTTGTATTTTAATGATATGTCAGGCTTGATGAAATAAAAGTCTTGTGCAAGTTCATGTTCTTAGCAGCAAAATCATTCAAGTTACATGAGACTATTTTAATTGTTTCTTTAATTTGTTCCACTAGCATAATTCAAGATGTTAAAAGTGGCATATTAATAGTATTTCATTTTTAATTTTTTAATTAATAAATTAATCAGTGTTACTTCAATATGTTAAAAATTAGTAGGTTTACAATTTTTCACTTGAATTTGGTCTATATTTTATCAGAAATCCTTAATAGCTTTTGAAAAGTTCAGCAAAGTAGAAACAGAAAATCAGAATTTTTGTAATGAAAATGCTTATTTTGCCCATACGTTCTAGATTATTCACCCAATCAACAGTGTCTTTCAAACTTTAGTGATTTTCAAACAGAAATGTGATTTTCCTACTAGCAGTTATATGATGAGATGGTTAAAATGCTTAGTCATTAATGCCACAGGTTGCGAAATTTAGTTCCCAGTTTCATGTTTTCCTACAGGGATTAAATGCACTCACAGATATGTTGGAGAAAATACATTGCCATAGGATGGGATTATATTGAAAAATAATATCTGGTTCACCTAGTATTGTTTCTTATATTTTTACTATGAGAGTTTTTATATCTCTCATTACAGTCTGCAATTTTGCAATGTAAAGAGTGATCAGTTGCTTGCACTTTTGGCAGTATATAAATGGATGGTACAACTCTGATATACGCCCTAATTTCACCAAATGTGGTGATATGTGTTCTGTGCTGCTTTTGGGCGCGATTGCATGTTGTATGGCAACCCTGTTGACATTGAAAAATCTTTCGCTGGAGCCTGTTGGTTCGCGTCATGCTTGTTGGTTTGTTGGTTCGCGTCTGTGTCTGAGAAGATAAGGGGGAAAGATAAAATGGAAGTTGTTGAAGTTTGGCAAAAATAAATCAATGTAGCCATACTGTTGAGGGGCAGTGGGTATTTGGAGGTGTGGAAAGAGAGTCTGGGAGATTATTTTTAGTGACTGTGCATGATAGAAGTAGGGATTTGGGATTATTTGTGATTTTATTAATTTGTGAACCATAGTATGAATTTTCTGGATAGTGTGTCTGGCTGTCATATAAATACGATAGTGATTACGTGGCGGCACGAAATTGGTATTTCTGCTGTTCAAAAAAGCATTCATTTATGGTAAGTGCATTTTATTTTATTCTTGTTCTTATTTTGTAGAATGTTATGTTCATTGTTTTTTTAGTATGAATTTCTGTCATTATTGTTTTTTTTAATTGTTTGAAATTTATTTTTTCAATTAGTGTGTAGTGTCTAGATTGTGCAATTCGTAGATGTTTTTTAAAGTTGAAACAGAACGCTGTGTACATGGTATTCTTTGAAATTTATTGTTGTTACGTTAATTTATTAAAGCGAGGTGTGCATAGTTTGTAGATTTGTTCGTTGCGTAGATTTTTTTTTTTAAGTTAAAACATATCGCTGTGTACATGTATTCTTGTAAAATATTTTTGGTTAGAAACTTTACGTTTTTGCTATCTAAATTTTTTGTTTCAGATTTTTAGCTTAAATTGTGTGTTTGAAAGTAGCTTTTGCATGTGCGAAAACCACGTTTTTGGAGACATTTTAGGCTTAAGGTTCAAAATGTAAAAAAAAAAAAAAAAAAAAAAAAAAAAAAAAAAATTAGATAGTAAAATGGCAGCGTGGAGTTTCTTGCCAAAAATGTTTGGCGAGAAATTTGGCGGCTGGAGGGTGCATATCAGAGTAGTTCCAAATAGATTTACTGAGTGATAAGCATGAACATCTACACAAAGCAGTATTGATTTTCTCACTATTTACAATTATAAGTAACGTCATTTGTTGTCATCTACTGTTTAACTGAAACAGAAGACACAGAGACCAATTAAACATTAGTACTTATTTCATCTATTTGTGAAGGTTAAGTATGTGCATCAGTAATCACTAATATAAACACTAATCCCTTTCTTCTGCTGTCCTAAGGTTCCTGAAATGCTTTTCCTTAATTTTTATTTTATGTAGTAATTTGAATAGTGTTTACATTTACATTAGTGTTATATAGCCACATTCAATGATTTTATGTTATGAATAGTTGAGCAATGGTTGGTTATGAATAGTTGAGTTTAATGTTTTATTTGCATGCAAATATATATGTTTCTCTATTTTCAAAATCTTATTGCATTGTAATGTTTAGTTTGAAATAGTGTATAGCTTCTAAGCTATGGATTGTATTGACAAGTACAAGGGACCACATATCAACTTTCATTGGCAACTTTAAAACAGTAGTTCTACTGTTTGTAAGCAATAGCTAGATTTCTAACTTAATTTTATGTAATTTAATAAGTTGTGTCTTATTAATGCTGTCAATAGATTTAATTACTTATGTTATTCCTCACTATAGTAATATGGAACATTTCACCCATATCTGCTAATCATGTACATCTCTTTTATTGTTGCACAAAATTTCATATATATTTGCCAGTTTCTTTGCTGAGCAAATGCATGTGACATAAAAGCTGGACTATTTCTTTTTATTCTTAAAAACGGGAGTTTATATGACATATGCATTGTAAAAATTAAAATTTTCATAATTAATATCTTTCCCTAGGTATACATTAATGCTTATGTGCTGGCACAAAAATCCTAAAGCTCGTCCTACATTCATAGAAATTATTGAAATGTTACTTCCAGAGGTCACATCAAAGTTCCATAAATATTCGTATTACTTTACTCAGTACCGTTTGATGAATACTGACAATGAAGACTCAGCTACCCCTAGTACACCTTTACGATCTGCTCGTGAAGATATTTTAAATGAGCAGCAAGAATATAAATATTTTCCTAGTGCAACACAATTACCTGAAGAAATTACCAGTTCCCATGAACAATGTGATATAGGGCAATCAGCTTCATTTGGAACCAGAACATTCAGTGCCACTTCTAATGAAGGAAGCAAAGGAATTTCTGTTACTTATTCCGATGGAAGCAAGGGTAGCAAAATCAGTAGCATGTCTAATGGAAGCCTATCTAATGGGCATCTAAATGCAAACTATAACAGAGCTACTGAATGCTGATCATTTATGAAGCAAAAGACTTGTATTCAACATATTGTTGATATAGCAAATCGCTAACTTTATGAATATCATTATGTAATGCACCTTTGTTAAAACAAATATTAAGTGCCACAATTTCTAGAAATGCTTTTAAGGTGAAATGATTTTATAAATTTAGATTATGACATTGCATTTAATGGCTGTAGCAGAGTTTTTCCTTATACTATATGTGTTATAATGGAAAAGGATTAGATGTGGATTTTCATAGCTGAAAAATGTGTTTTATTATGAAATCAGTTAAAATTATTTATAAGCAGTGTAAATCAAACTAAATTTTTTATCAATAAGCAAGGTTTACAAATTATTTACTAAAACTTTGCAAATATTTAACTTAATAGCTATTCTTAAAGTAAAAATATGTGTTTTGTGTAAATAATTAAAGTAACTGCTTTCTGCATGTTAGTATCAATTATAAAAAATCTATGAACATTTTTCACATGTTTAAAATTGTATTGTAGATCTTATTGTTTGTGACAGTGATATTAGCAGAATGTGATTGTTGACAGTTTTAAGGCTATGCAGCATAGATACATGTTATCATCTATTTTAGAACAATGTGATATTTCACTTTTCATATTCATGTTTTTAGTCACTTTTATTTAATTTTCAGTCAGTTAACTTTTATTTAATGTGTGTGTATAAATGAAATTATTTGCTTATATAATTAACTCTAACGCAATTTCAAATGTATAATATTATTAAATGTATTAAATGAAATGTACTTTTATCAACTGACTATTTCAAAATAATAAAAATATACAATACTTATTTTTCACCTAAAAAAGCAAATGGGTATTATTGTATTATAAAAAATTAATAACTTTTCGTGTGGAAATAGCATATATTGTGTCAAAGTGTTACTATTGTGTTCATAACATTAGAATATAATCCAGTTTCTATAATTTTATGTATTAATAAATATGCTATACATTAATAAATATGTCATACTTTAAAAAATGCATCATTTATTGCTTAATGCAGGAAACTATAAATCTGTTTATGAAAATTAAATGTATAAAATATTGGTACTTTTTTGCAAGTTTGGCTTTGTGATGTAAGTTAGTAAAAGCATTCAACAGATTGCAAAATTTATATTGTCTGGCAACCTTTTTTAAAGTTCATTTATTAAATTTATTTTATACAAACTTACTTGAATTTAATAGATATTGTTACTTATTAAAATTTTGTATAGAATATTCTATTTTTGAAGAAAGTTTTATACTTTAAAAATATTTATTTATACTACTTGTCTTCTTCAATTTAAAATTTAAAATGTTTCTAAATATATTTATCTATCATTTAGTTATTTATAACTTCATGAAGTAAATTTTATATAATATATAATATATATATATATATATAAATTCTGAATGCTGTGCCTAAACAGTATGAACAGTAGGTGAAGATATTGAAGAAAAGCAGCTGCTGTGTACTTAACAGAAATGATAAAATAGCCATTAACAAAAATTTGCAGTTTCAAATTAAAGTTATTTTTAAAGCATTGATTAAAGCATTTTCCCCCCTTATTGTGACATTTTATCATTCTGCACTTCATGACATATAATTAATTTTAAATATAACTATTATTGTAAATTTGTTTCATTTAGAAGTGAAACTTTTTGCTAGAATATTTGTAGTTTTATGTTTAAATATGATATTAACTTAAAAACTATCATAAATGATTATGTTCATGAAATCATTTTTCTAAATTATATTCATACAATATGTGTTTATATGTTAGTTCGTTTTTAAGTATTTGTGAAATTCATTAATTATATTTTATAAAATAAGCACATGTTGTAAATTATAAGAAAAACTCAATATTTAAAATATTGCAATTAAAAAATATTAGAAATGGTACTGTGAGTAAATGTTTTTTGTACAATTTTTCTAAACATTCATTAAATGTCATGTGTTGTTTTATAAGTGACTGCAACTAAATGTTTATAAATATCCAATTTTGTACTTAACATTAATTCTTATAGCTAATTTTTTTTAGCTGTCACTAGCAGAAATTTTCTTCAGATGTATGTCAGTTATATTTTAAATATTATGTATTTAGATGAGAAGTTTTATATGTTGTACATTGCAATACATGTCAGATAAACATTTTTCTCCCTGCCTCTCTTTAATATAAAATTATTTAAAAATTAGCAACAGCTTTCACAAGTGAGTGATTTAAAATAATTGATAACCTAGAGCTGTCTTCTACATAATGAAATTGCATGACTACAAAGAAAAATTATTTGCAAATCGAAAATTTCATTGTTTAACACATAATTTAAATGTTGAATTAACATATGAATGTGAAATGTATGCTTTTAGTTCGGAAGTTAAACAAACTCTATTTTAATTTAGAGTTTTGAAACTTCAAAGAGAAATTAAATGCATAATCTGCATATTTAAATTTGAGATAAATTTATAAAACTATATGACCCAAAATAAAATTTTCTACAGCATAACTTATAATCATGCATTTATGAAACATTGAATATACAATTAAGAAGGAGTAATTTTTTTAAAGTCTGATCTCCTTAAAATTCTGTTTCATCTAATGTTATGTTATTGTTCTCCTACACAGACATAAAATTTTCTGAAATCATTGTCTTGATTATTATGGAAGTATTCAAGGTATGTGTTCTTGATGGGAATGAGTAAGTTTTATGAAGCATTTTCTGAGGGAAACAGACTTATATTTACTTACATTGTATTAAAAAGTCATCAAAACACCCGTACATGAATTGAACAAAATTGCTGATATTCAATGATAGTTTCTGTCAGGATTTATCACCATGCCTACAGTTGAACTCAAATTTATCTGTTAAATCAAAATCGCAATTTATTTTTAATTGCAATTTATTAATTCTGACTATTTCAGTTTTATATTTTCACAAAATATATACTTTAAAAACATAGTTTATGCAGAAAAATTATCTTCAAAATTCGTTCTATCTTCATAGTAATTAAAAATTTCGATTGCTGCACAAATCTAAATATAAGGTAATTTTTCGTATTGCACAAACTACATGCATTCGTTGCATTATATCAATTAAGAATATATAACAAAAATTTGTGATAAACTGAACATTGATGCATATATTTTTGTTTCAGGAACAGGAATTAAAATATTCTTTGTGGTAGGAAATTGTGTTGTCTTTTTTTCAATATATATAATATATATATATTACAATTAATTTAAGTTAAAGAAAATTGAAATATAAATGAAAAATTATTAATTGCTCTATAAGGTTATCTGGATTTTATTTTGTTGCACAATTAGTACAGGAATGATTACTGATTTGTTTTAAAAACTGACATTTACTATCAATATAGCTGAAAAATTAAAAGATAAATATTGTGCATGTTACTGCACTATGATGTAAAAATAAAATTATATAAATAATTCTGCAAATTTATTTCAAGACTATAAAATTAGTTTTCTGACATTGAGCATGAATTACTTAGAATATTGAGAAGAAATATTGGAAAATGTTAATTATTTCATTAATGGATGCTGGTGCAAAACATTTTCAGAATATACCTAATATAGCATGTTCTAATATTTTCTGCAGAATAGTCTGAAAAAGTATTAAAAATTCAGAGAAAATTCTCTCAGAGTTTAA